TGAAGCTCAGCTCTGCCAGCCAACAGACATGGCGCCTTCGTCTGTGAAACAGACTCGTCTATGAAACGGGGCATCATGATGCCTCGTCCACAGCTCCTAGGAGAGGATTAAATGGAATAATATGTGTAAAGTACGTGGCGCTTTGCAAGTTCCCCAAACGTAAGTTCCTTCCCTTCTCCCCTTTGGTCTTAAACAACATCATCAATGCTTTCAAAATGGGAAGCACAAAGGGAGCATTTCCTTCAGAGCTAGATGTTGCCAAAAAGACAATTGTAACTTCGAATTCCCTTTCCTTCGGGGCTTTTCTTATACGGTGACTGTAAAACGGCCATTTGCCCCCGTCAGTGTCGTGAGGAAGTAGAAATGTTACTTCTCTTTTCTCCCCAGCTACTTCTGCTGTCCGAGAGCTGCTGTACGCGGGGCAGCAGCTCTTGATGGAGCCGCGGCCAGATCCTCACGGAGAGGAAAGTGCTTTCTATGAGATTAGCTGAGTGGTTCGTCTAACACAGTTATGATCCAACAAACACACTGATTAGGGTCATGTGTGCTCCCTCCCTCCTGCTGTGCCTCAGCAGGCCTGGCGCGGGCGCTCTTGGAAGGAGCGGGGAGACTGCCGAGGCCGTGGCCTCCCAGCCCGCTGGCCCGAGGACGCTCTGGGATGGAGCTGTCAGGTTGCACATCCTGACCTGTAAGGGCGGAGATTCAGGCTCGAAACTCTACCCTACCGCCAGATTATTATTTTTTCTGCACCTCAGCTTCCTCCATGTGTCAAAGGAGATCAGAGGAAAAGAGTTGAACTTGGGATCAGAAATCCCCAAGTTCAAGTCCTAGCCCTGCTTTTTATTTAGCCATGCAAGGCTTGGAACCTTTATTCCATCCTTGTACAAAGCCTCTGTACAAGGCTTTGTGCCACTTGCCTTTAGTCCTTGGTTTGCTCATCCAGAAATGGGTATAATAATGTCAACCTCAGAAGTTGGTTTGGGGGATTAAGAGAAAAATATATACAAGAAGCATCCGCAGACCACGAAACACGGAAGGGACAACAGTAACTTTCTGTTTTCTTCTAAGTTTCCTTCTGGTTGACTTTCTCTGATTCTATGACAATATTTGTTGGTGTAAAAGAGGGGCTCCAAAATTACCTGCTGAATGAGTGACTTCGACTGTCAAGTGGAATGTCAATCAGCCAGGAGGGAAGTGACTCTATGAGCCACAGAATCAGGCCCTGGTCACAAGGGCACACCCAACCTTACCGTGCAGAGTCCTGCAGACAGAAAAGAGGGGCTGATCAGCTTCTGCCAACGGGGCGCTTTCGTAGGCTCATTCTGCGCCAGGCTGACCTCTCCATTCTAGCCCTCGCAGTCTGAGCAGTCGCTGGTTTTCCACATCCAAGGGGTAGCAGGCAGGGCTTAGTAAAACCACGGAAGGCGTAAGCAGGCTTCTGCCTTTTGAAAAAGCTGCAAGACTAAGCTGTATTCATAGTGGCCTCTAGTGGCAAATTTCCAAAATAGCATGCTAAGTGAAACTTGGCAGCTGAAGGAATCTTCTCAGAATGACCTAGATTCAGAAACTTAGGGCTAAAGGGGGCCTAGTTCAAATCTTCCCTTGATGAATAAGGACACCAAGGTGCAGAAGTAAAGTGATTCACCCAAGGTTACACAAAGGCCTCACATCCCTCTGTCCATAAACCTTGCCCACGCCTGGACATCTATGGTTTCAGACGCAGTTAAAGATGTTACCATTTGGGAGAACAAATAGGGACCCAATTTCTATATCACACCAAGCCAACGTTCGAGTGAAACCCTAATGAATTTTCTTCCCCTGCACTTTGCTTCTCTCTTACCTCTAAGAATATTGCTGGAAGATCCCCTATCCTGGTATTTACCAAAAAGTAGTAAGCCACTCCAGAGGCAACAGGACTCTTAAGGCCATAACGAGCTTTGTAGGCAGTAAACTCCACGACTTTAACAAATGTGCGTTTTCAATGCTTCCTCCTCTGCACGCTGCAAGAATGCGGTGCCAAAAGGGGCCACAGTGATGGCTGAGACTGGCTCAAGGATCTGGGGGTAGGAATCATTTGCTTTGTGTGGGGAAAGCTATTTTGACATATTCTGGAGACACAATCCACAAATACATTAGGCTGAGGATTTCCAGGGGGCTTAGTGGAAAGGCTTTGCTGCCACACTGTAGCTGAAGCCTGGGTTTGGAGACTTGGGCTACAGCTATTTATGCAAATGGATCCGAATCTTTTTCTGATGGAGAAAATGTATTTGATTCATTCAGCAGTAACTCAAAACACTGCTCAAGGTGCTGGGAAGACTCATGGAGGGGAGTAAGACAAGGTCCTAACTCCCAGAGGTTAGCCCAGTGGCAGGGAAAGGCTGTTGGCCTGCCAGGATAAGGAGGCAGGAGTGTAGTGATAGATTCGGGAGCCACTGGTCATAACAATAGCTGGCATTTTTTTGAGCGTTTTCGAAATGCCAGTTCCCGTTCTAAATACCTGCTCTAGCTCATTTAATCTTCACAATAGCCCTATAAGGTTAGCACCATTGGCCTCCCTTCATAGTGGAAGAAACTAAAGCATGGAGAAATTACGACACTTGTTTAAGTTCACACTGTTGGGGAGTGGTGGAGCTGGGATTGAGTCTTGACAGTCAGCTTCCAGAATCCTTTTCCTTCAGTGTCATAGTTGCTGCTGCTGTCTTCCCTGCATTTTCTGTGATATCTACTGACCATAGCATCTAATCCACCCTGGTGCCCACACAGGGAATTTCAGTGCAAATGCCACAGTCTGATGTCCACAGTATCCTAAAGTGGGAACAGAAGAGCACTGTTTCATAAAGCTTAGTCTTGCCGGCCAAAGCCAGCAGCTGTGAAAGCTGATCCTGTGCTTTGAATCTTGCCACTCTTCCAGGGCCGCCAGGATGAGGCAGAGCACACTGGTCTAGGAGGCAGAGGATTGGGTTATGGTCCTGACTGCCTCATGCTCTTCGGAAAATCCTCCTCCCCAGTTTCATCTTGGATGAATGTGACCTCTAGGACTGCGGTCCCCAACCCCCAAGCCATGGACCGGTACCAGTCTGTGGCCTGTTAGGAACTGGGCTGCACAGCAGGAGGTGAGCAGTGGGCTACAGCTGCTCCCCATCACCCGCATCACCGCATAAGCTCCGCCTCCTGTCAGATCAGCAGTGGCATCGTATTTTCACAGGAGCACAAACCCTACCGTAAACTGTGCATATGAGGGATCTAGCTTGTGTGTTCCTTATGAGAATCTAATGCCTGCTGATCTGAGGGGGAGCTGAGGCGGTGATGCTAGTGCTGGGGAGTGGCTGCAAATACAGATTATCATTAGCAGAGAGGTTTGACTGCACAGTAAATGTAACGCGCTTGAATCAGCCCAAAACCACCCCCCGCACACATGGTCCGTGGAAAAATTGTCTTCCATGAAACAAGTCCCTGGTACCAAAAAGTTTGGGGACCACTGCTCTAGGACTTTGCTACTCCAAGTGTGGTGTCTGGACCAGCCGTCACCATCCCCAGGGAGCTGGTTAGAAATGCAGAATCTCCCGCTGAACGCAGAGCCAGGAGCTGCTTTCTAACAGGCTCCCTCTGAGACTCCTGTGTGTGCTAGTGGGAGACGCCCTGGGCCAGGGCCCGTGGGGGCCGTACTTTATAATCTGGGTCCAAACTTCTCTCACCCATTCCAGGGGCACTTGTTTGAAGGCCCTTGTCACTGGCTGTCTATCCCAACCTTCAGCCTTCTCCAAGAAGTCTAGAATCTCCTTCTCTTTCCACCTGATGAGGGACAGAGGGCAGTGTCTCTCCTGTCCCTTGATTAGCTCCCAGCAGTCCCATACCTGTCTTCATTAATCTCCATCCAAGTCTTAAACTCATCCTTACCTTTTGATAAGCTACCCTCACCTCCGTCTCTTTGAGATGTGACTGGAATGAGCTATCTGTGCACTAGCACACCCCACTTGGATGAGACTTGTCCCAATGGTATGTATCCTGACAGGATGTGGACACTCACAGGACCAAACAATGAAGCAGCATTCCTTTTAAACAAGCTCCCCTTATATGCAAGCAGGAATCTCTACAACTCTGGCTCACTGGCGCAATCACCAGAAACTGTGAAACAATTTAAGTTTCTCTCTGAGGTCGTATCTTTTACGAAAACTGTCATATCCCTACATGTACGACTGCCTTGGCATGTACTTGGTGTACCTTTCCAGAAACAAGGAACTATGCCTGTGCTGCTCTCTTCCCAAGGGTATGCAGAGTAGTGATGATATGTTTCCACACCCCTGTGCCCTGGATAGAAGTGGGGATTTTCAGGATTGTAACTCTGGGAGCTTAGTGCATGGGTTTTTCCTTGCTCTCAGAGAAGGAACCAATCCTGTCTACCCAGTGCAGGCTGAAAGAAATGTATTTCTATCTTCCCAGAGTGCAGAACATTACTTTTCACACGAAAACCATCTCTGGGATACAGTTTTCGTTGTCGGGTTTTGCTTTTCAGTTGTTGAGAGAAGAGACAAGTGGACAAAGAGGTTGAAGGCAGGGAAGGCTTGGGGAATAAAACCTTATTTGGCCATTCCATAAAGTAAACCACCATTTCTAAAATGTAGAGGGTGCTAAGAACACTGAAGTTACAATTCCCACTTCAAGGAGCTACCAGCTTAAGGAAGCAAACACCACACCTGCGCCTGGTCCCGTAACGATGTTGAGGCGGATCTCCTGCAAGTTCGGGGAACGGTTCGGGTCTCTCAGCACATCTGTCTGCTTCACCTGCAGCTGATGCTCCCTTATTCAGAAATGCCAATGGCATCACTTCTTTCTCTGGTTCTCGTTTTTTAAGACAGAACTGCTCTTGAATGGGGGGAAGTCCACAAACCTAAAATGATGTGAAACTTTAAGATACGGTCTCTGCAATACTACTTGAGATGGTTGAGATTAAAATAGCTGTTAGAAGCTCAAACAGTATTTAACATCAGACCACACCAGTGATTTCAACCATCAATGGCATTTTATTTTAGAAGTTTCTATATATTACGTAGGTATTAACTTCCTTCCTCTTACCCCTACTCCTCTCCTGAAAATCCAAAAAGATTTAAAAAAAGTAACAAACCTTAATGTATAAAAATCTCTTATCTAATTTCTCTAAAGTCTTAGGTTAAAAAAACCTAAGTGGTGCTTCTCCTTTATGAGAATACTGCTTTTTAAGGAGAATTCATAGTCTGTCCTTGCACTCATTATGTATTTCTTCTCCTCCCTGGGAAAAATGGTCAAGGCTTCTGCTTCCTTTTAATAAATTCATTTCTCGATTATTACACATTATCATTCCCCACTTGACACCTTCTCAGAGACTGATTGTTGGATGTGTTTTTCATTTGGCAAAAATTCAATGTGGCTTTGCGTGGGATGTCTAAGTGTCAGAAACAGCAGTGTCGATGTTCTGGTTTTGAGTGGGAAAATATATATAGAGATGCATACGTTCCCTAGAAGAACAAAAGCAGGAGACTGAAATAGGGTGTGCACAGAGTTAAAAGGGCTGATAGACACTTATCTGGTTTTGAATTCTGTGGCTGTCAGCCACCAAAGATTGCAGTGTAGGCCAGAATATAAATCTCCTCAAGAAGTTTGGGTAGGCACTGTGAAATGACAGAGTCTGCTTCATTTTGTTCCAAGTATCTCACAGCAGACACACACAAGGAGGTGCATTATGGGTCATTTGCAGAGAACAGTAACCTGTGGATAAACATGTATGGGCATTTCTGCAAATGCCCTGTCAACCTAGGTGCTGGGGGAAGAGAAAAGAAGAATCCTATTAAAGTATACTTCCATCTCTAATTCACCCAATACCCTAGGCTTCCTTGGCTCTATGATTTGCAAGGCCAAAATGAACTTTAGTGTGACATGTCATTTTAGGTCATCTGGAAGCTGGTTCGCCGGGGCCATCTCAGAAGGCAGCAGCAAGTCTATCCAGAAGGGTATGCCTTAATGATCTTCACATCGTCCACAGGGCGGTCCTGGGAGTTTGTTTCCACCATTCCCACTCGATTCACCATTCCTATACCCTGGCACACTCGGCCAAAAATGGTATGTTTGCCATCGAGCCACTGTGTTGGGGCGAGGGTCACAAAGAACTGGCTGCCGTTGGTGTCTGGCCCTGCATTGGCCATTGCGAGAATTCCAGCCCCTGATGGGAAAAAGGAAGAAAGGAAAGAGAATGAAAAACCCCAACAAAGCCAACAAAAAACCGCCAAAACAACCCAAAAAACAAAAAAAGCCAAGAACTTGGTCCGGCCCCCGGCAACAAACACCCAATCCCCGCCAAACCCCCCCCCGGGGCAGGCTCTCTGTCTGGCACAAAGGCCATCACTGCACTACCTTGATGGCCTCATCTTCCTTGTCCTCACCTACTCCCCAGCTTCGACCCCTGATGATCCCTGCTAACTGCTGGACCCTGTCCTCACTGCCCTCAAAAAACCAGCAAGGTCTCCTGTTTCTTTGAGGACACTTTTGCTATCCACAGTTTATGACATTCAACAAGGAGTTAGAGTCTAGAGCGCTCAGATCAGCACTCTGAATTGCTCAGAACTCTGTGAGAGGCGCCACTTTCTCTAATCGGCCCGAGCTCTTTGTGGCGCCACGGCTGGGAAGCTACCTGGCGCCATGCCATGGTGTCGGGCATTTACCTTGAATCACTGCCAAAAGAGTGAGCTTTTAAAATCCACTCCTCCTTCCTACCCAGTCCAGCCAGATTATACACTTACCTGTGAATTTTAAGTCTGGATGAAGTTCATCTTCAAACTGTTTGCCATAGATAGATGCACCACCTCGACCTGCCGGATTATAAGAGGAAAAATGAACCAGCCAGTCCCACATTCTACCTCACAGCAAGAAAGGCCCAGGGGTAAAATATTTCCCAGAGTTCAGGAAAGGAAAAGGCAGTGTGCACATCTAGTCCCCTGCTAGATATACTGCAACTACAGAGCCAAGCACTAACAGCACATTCAAATCACTGGTTTCATTCAGGTACGACATTTCTTTTCAAAATAACACTGAGTATTCTTTCCTGTGTATTAAAATAATAGATGTTCACTGTCAAAAATGTAGAAAACATAGATTAGCAAAAGAACATTAAAGACTCCTGTAATCTAATCATCTAAAGATAACCACCATTCATAATCTGATGTGTTAAGAATTTTCCTGATTCTTAACATTTTTATGAGTATTTTTTTTTAATTGAGAAGGGGTCTCACAATATTTCCCAGGCTGGTCTCAAACTCCTGGCCTCAAGTGATCCTCCTGCCTTGGACTCCCAAAGTGCTAGGATTACAGGTGTGAGCCACTGTGCCCGGACCTTTATGAGTATTTCAGACAGGAGTACCCCAAGCCCTAGCCCTATGACCGTTACAAACATTGCTAATCAATCAGCATTCTTCCCTGCTGAGTTTAGATCTACCTCCAATCCTTACCAACCCAGACTAAAAGCAGCCATTATTAATGGATCAGAAATGGCCCAAGAGTTGCAACCTATTTGCCACCCTTAACTTAGGTAATGGAAATAATATTACAGTAGGCAGAGTCCACTGAGAGGAGAGGTAGCATATCATAAAGAGAAAATGAAGAAAGATGGGATTGAGAATTATTTGCTAGCAACATCACCACCAAATGTTATTTATGTTATGTCCACAAGAGCATGGTGCTGTGCTAGACACCGTAAGCTCAAATAGGTTTTGTTCTTAGAACAAAAGGGTATTAATTAAATATGGTTTCCCATAGGAAAATACGTCGTAACAGGAAGCTACTTCCCCAACCAGTATTACTCACTTCATACAGTCGACCGTATGCATTGTTCAACTACACTGGTTTCTCCAAGTTGATCAGATATGACAAAACAGCCTGGAACAAAGCGAACACTGGATCTATCAGCTTACTCTGCCTGCCTGGCAGCGAGAGAACGGCCTAGATACAGGGAGCTCCTCTCCCTTTACAGCCTGCTATATTAAAGTCGCGTATTAAAGCACCATGCCCACCCCGACTCCCAGGCCCCTGGGCACGGCTAAGGTGTTTCCCCAGCAGAAATCCTTTGCTTTACCTTTCAGGCTGCTCCACCACAGGGCGTCTGTCACAGCCCCCATTTCCAGAAGAAAACACTACGTGCAAAGAGGAAGGGTAGTGAATCCTAACAGACGGGGAAACCTCCCACCTGGCCCAGGCTACCTATGCTTGTGGAACTATACCAAACTATACAAAAATTCATTCCAAAAATTCTGACCTGCCAGTATACTTCCAGACAGCAATTACGTAACCAACATATTCCCTCTGACTTGGGCCCTCCCCTTGTTCTGCCCTCTAGACTACTAAAGTCAAGGCTCACTAGAGTCAAGGCGTTACTAGCAGTGCCAGAGCTGAAGATGAGAAAGAGGGAGAGGGCTGTGGGGCCAAACAGAGGCCGAGGCCAGTGTGCACAGCGTGGGCGAGCAAGCTGAAGGTCCAGTTCAGTAGCGCATCGTCTATCCGTGGGCCGAGCCTTCAAAGCGTGATCCCTGCAAGCTGAGGGCGGCCAGAACACAACCTCCGGGCCCCTGTCCTCTAGGAACGAGAAACCGTCACATAAACACCACCACAAACAAGAAGAGGATTAAGGAATAGGCGAGTCAAGATCACAGATGAAACAAGGATTTTAAGCAATCAGGAGACAAGAGAGAGCATGGAGGCCCTTTTTACTTGATAGGCACAGTTTGACCAACTGCAACTAGTTCGGGCCTCTACAGCACCGTTTATTCATGATATATAATCTTCTTATAACCCAATTCAACTCAGTAGGGTTTGCAGCAAAATGTCAGAAAGATGAATAATCCCAATCCAAACATTCCTCTGGGCATGTGGACTAGGCGAGAGGTGGTGGGGGACAGGGAGTGGCTAAAGAGTTCTTCGGCGTGGTGCACAGAAGTCAACAATCAGTTAGAAAGCCAGCAGTCTGGAAGCTCTGCAGGCTCTGTGCCCGCTCTAGCACGGATACAAGGAGACAGGCAGAGACCTGCTTTCTAAGCTTTGTGCCTCAAGGTTCTTTTCCTCTTCTATCCTCTCTTTTAACCATTTATTCAATTCAATGTATATATTTCAGACATACAAAACTACAACAAACTATGAGCCCCCCCCCCGAAATAAAGTATCTCAAATCTAGTTAAGACCCCATGCACACACCCCGCTGCATCCCTTCCCACCCCTCACTCTCCTAAGAGCTAAGAGCCGCTCCAAAGAAGTCCATTTTCCTCTCAGGTAACCACTATTCTGACCAGAAGTTTGTCATTTCCATACATTTTCTTTTTTACTACATGTATATGTATCCCTTAAAAAAAGTACTGCTGTTTTCCATGTTTTTAAGCTTCTCTAAATGGTATCATACTCCATAGATTCTTCTGCAATTAGCTTTCTATTCACCATTGTTTGTGAGATTCATCTGTTTTGTTCCGTGCAGTTCTCTGCAGTTGTGCCCCACTGTGTGATTAAAACACTGTCTTAGCTTTCCTCGTGTTGATGGGTATTGAAGATCTCTCCAGTGTTTGTGCTGTCAGCAGCTGTGCTGCTCTTTGAGGATAACCTTGTTTGTTATTTCACTGAGAAGGGGGAAGTATTCAGAACTTTCACACATTTTCGCCACCAAATCCACTTCTGTTCCTGCACCTCTACCCACGTCCCCTCCTTCCTCCATCAGTATATGCTATATGAATAAATTGTTCATATGGCATACCACCACCATGGACGTAATCCCATTCACCTTTAAATAACTTTGCAACTACAAGTTCCCTTCTCTTTTATCAGTTTTTCTCTTTCTAATGGATCATTCATAATAGTATTTAAACATGTTATTAATATTTCCTATCTTAAAAAATAAAACAAGGGAATATCTCTGAATCTATTCTGGTTTGGGGGAGCTGCCCAGTAAAAAAATAATAATTTAAAAAATTAAACATTAAAAAAAAGAAAAAACAAAACAAACTCCATCTCCAAATATCCTATTTCTCTATATTCCTTCCAGAAAAACTCCTCGAAAACGCTGTCAACACCTGTTGTCTCTGCTTCCCCTCCCATTTTCTCTCAAACACTCTCCGTTCCGTGGCACCTGCACTAGTCAAGGTTGCCAGGACCCTCTACGTGGCTAAATCCGATGGTCAATCCTCAGGCCTCACCTTACTGATCCACATGCCTCATCTGACAGTTGATGTCGCCCTTCTTCTTGAGACATTGTCCTCGCTTGGTTTCCAGGACTCCACATTCCCCTGGTGTTCCTCCCCCGTCACTGGCAGCTCCTCCTTTTCCTCTGCTGGCCCCTTCTCCTCATCCCCTCTCCTTTCACAGGTGCTAGGCCTGCACTACTGTGTAAAGACTTCCCCTTCCTCTTTAGGTTTCACGAGTGTTAGAACAATAGAATGTAGAACTGTCTTGGTGTCTGCTTCCCAGGGTACTAGAACTGCCACAGCTGCTACCACGCTAGTCCAGACTACAGCAATCTCCAGCTTTGACAACAATGAAAGCCTCCCACTGTCTCCTTGCTTCCAGCGTCTATTCTTCCTCTTTCCCCACCATCTACTCTTCATATGGCAGCCAGAGGAATCCTTCTAAAACAAGTCTGATCGTGGCGCTCCCCTATTTTTATTTCTTAATTTTTTTGAGAGACAGGGTCTGCTTTGTCGCTCGGTCCGGAGTACAGTGGCACAATCATAGGTCACTGGAACCTAGAACTCCTGGGCTCAAGAGATCCTCCTGCCTCAGCCTCCCCAGTAGCTAAGACTATAAATGTGCAACCACCATGCCCAGCTAATTTTTAAAAAAATTTTTTTGTGGAGACAGGGTCTCACTTTGTTTCCCAGTCTAGTCTTGAACTTCTGGCCTCGAGTGATCCTCCCACCTCTGCCTCCCAAAGTGCTGGGATTACAGGCGTGAGCCAGCGCACTCGGCCCAGCACTCCCCTGCTTTAAATCCTCCATTGACATTGCATCACTCTTAGAACACAATCCATAGTCCTCGCCACGGCTCACAAGCTCTCCATGGTTAGGTGCTCTGCTACCCTCCAGCGCCATCTCCTGACACCCTCCCCTCACTCACCTGCTCCAGACACACTGGTTCCTGTGCTATTTCTTGCCAAGCACACTCTGGTCTAAGGCCTCCGACTGCTGTTCTCTTTGGAGTGTCCTTGCCCCCAACAGTAAATCTCATGGCTTCCTACTTCGTTTTATTCAGAGCTCTGCTCAGATGCCACCTTGTCAGAGAGGCCTTTCCTAATCCTGTTATCCAAAACAGTACATCCTCCCTCACCAGCTAGCCCAGTGGTTCTCAACTGGGGTTGACTTTGACTCCTGGGGACAGTGGGCAATGTCTGGAGACAATTTTGGTTGTCACAATGGAGGGTTCTATTGGCATCAAGTGTGTAAAAGCCAGGCATGCAGTTAAATACCCTAAAATGCACAGTACAGCCCCACAACAAAGAATTATCCAGCCTAAAATGCCAACAGTGCCAATGATGAGAAACCCTGCTCTATCCCCTGACAGTATATTATGTACTTATTAGTTCATTCTGTCTCACCCACCAGAATGAGAGCGCCACGAGGGCTTTCTTATTCACTGTTGTATCCCCAACTCTTAGAACAATGCCTGGCCTACAGGAGTCCAGTAGAATTTTTAAAAATGAATTAACAACCAAAAACAACAATAAATAACCATACTTTTCTGAGCTCCTATTTTGTGTCAAGCCTGTGTTAACCATTTTGCAAATACCACTTCATTTACTACTCACGACCACCCTAGGAGGTGGGTACAAGCACACTCCCCGGGG